AGATTTGTTTTCCAATTATTTAAGATGTTTTAACCGAGCCAAATGTCCACATGACTGGTACCTCTTGTTCTATGTTGTATATAAATTTCAAAGCGATTACCAGTAGCTTACCAGAACAAAATATATATTAATTTTTCGGTTTTTTGAGTTATGACAGTATTGAAGTATATGAACGTTATGCCTATGGGGTAATTTTTAAGCAATTTTCAATGTTATTGAAAAAAATAAAAATTTTACCTAAATAAGTTTTTAAAACGTCGATACTTTTTGGTATTCGCGATATTTACTCAGTACCTGTCAAAAAGTATCGAGTCTTCGATACTACTCAGTACTCATGAAAAGTATCGATATTCTGTACTCGGTACTCGTATCGTTCTATCACTAGGCGTGTAAAGTTTACGACACACAACCATACGACACTTACGACGCCATTGTGAATACCCCAATAGACTTATTTCAGAGTTATTTAGCAATAATTCGACTCCAGTGCCACCTTGGGGCTCTTTTTTCAATAGTATTGCCCCTACCCGGACCATAAATACGATTTTTAGTAATAACTCGACTCCAGAGCCACCTGGTGAGGCATTTTTTTCGCAGAAATATTTCCCTTCACGTTTTTTAATAACGATTTTTAATAACTCGACTCCAGAGCCACTTGGCGTTTTAAGTTGTGAACCTAAACGAGAGGTTCCCAAACTTTTTTTCTCGTAGACCCCTTTCAAAAAGTACTGGTTTCGGTGGACCCCCTGCTGATACATCTCTAAATATTCCAAAAACTCGTAAAAAAATTAAATGTGAAAATTCTCATTGGAAATTCGAAATAACGGTGGAGATCTGATGGCCTTCACAAAAAATGGGCCATATAGTGTTTTTATTTAATGAAACCAATGAGCAATAGCACATTCTGTTAACCCAGTTTTTCAAGATCTTGGTAACGGTTTCTGGGTCCATCTCTCGAATGGCTTGCTTGGTATACGCCTTAAGGGCCTGAATCGTTCATGGATTTATCGCATAATGTCGGTCGTTCGCTGCACACCACAAAAAAGTCGAATAGCGTCAAATCGCAGCTCAGTAGCTCATTTCAGGGTTACCACTAAAAAACTTTCTTTCCTACCAAGAGCTGGTTCAAAAACCTACCAAAATGGCTTCTTTCCTACCATTTCTTTTAATCAAGAAAATGGCGTTTGACAGCATTAAATACATTTATTTTTGCTTGTTTTTATACTCAAAACGAGATTTCCAGTACACAAAAAGATCGTAATGATGGCTATTGTATACATATAGCACAAAAAATTTGCGCGTGTGCTTTTAACCAGACCCACCTACCGACATGTATTTCGACCCGCTGAATCCGAATGTGAGGACCGTTTGACTTTTAAACCCTCAAAATTTCGAGTACATTGCGAAAAACCGAATAAATGGCAAAACATTTACATCGTTTATAGTTCTAATAAAGCCTTCGGAGTAAATGACGTGAAAACTCGTAGCGGAAAATAAAATTCCATCGTAGAGTGCATACATATATAATGAAGTACATATATATATCGCTATCTAAAGGTGAAAAGGTGCCAAGGTGCCAAACGGCCAGATCTGAGGGCCTCCGGCTTTGGGACAAAATCTGCGCGCTGCGGGTTTGACATTAATTTCTTCGAGATGCGGTTAGAAACTTTAAGATTCTCCAATTTACTGGAAGTATTACTACCAATAAGTGGTTTTATTTTTTTTTGAATCGCTCTTCCGGTGCCATTTAAAATATGTTATCAACCTCGTAATTGTTGAAAATATTATCGATTTGCAACTGAATTTCAAAGAAAAATACCCGATTTATAAACCTGCCTTTACATCCATCAATAATCACTTGATATCCCTTTAGATACGCGGTGCATTTTATAGCGTATACGGAGTTCGTAGAATATCCGAAGGTAATTGGTAAAATTCTGCCTATACCAGTAAGCAACCAGTTTTTTGAATGGTATTTGAAAGCAAACAGTTGATGAGTTGGATGAGCCATGAAACAGAATGAGGGTAAAACTGATATTGTCAAAATTTGGCAAGCCTACTCAAAGTGACACATTGCTACAAGCCAGAGATGCTTTCTGGTTTATTAACAAAGAAACTTACCAAAATGTTAAGCGTCCTACCATACTACCAACGGGAAAAAACCTAACAATTTTGGTAGGCAAAGCCCAAATCGGCAACCCTGGCTCGTTTCTGTAACAATTCTCTACCAAGGCGAATTGATATATGAATTCGCTGCCTTGTTCTCTACTGCTAATGATTAGTAGAGAATGACGTATATTCTCTACCAGTAGAGAAATAATCGGTAGATAAGAGTTACAGAAAGAAGCTACAGAGGTGGCCAATTGACATCGCCAATACGGCTGATAACACGATTACCTGGGCACACAAAATCTGGATTGTGGCACGGGTTGAGTGGCATTGCCCACCATCCTGCTGAAGCCAAAGATCGTTGATTTGAAACGGCCTCAAGCTCGATAAAAATTTATGAATTTGATTTATTAGGAAAAAAAAACCAAAGAACGAGCACGCCTTCAAGTTAAATTTCTAAAAATAGAATATAACTAAAAAACAGCAACCACAATAACCACATGATCAAGTCTAAATAGTGGTTGGGTTGGCATATGAAAAATGTGGAAAAAGCAACAACATCTTATAGCACAGTGGGTACATCACAGGTTTTGTAAGATGAGGTCACTGTGTCTAATCCCAGTGAAGGAGTCTGATAAGAGGAGGTGTTCTCCGAATTAGCAGCTAAAACTTCTACCATTTGTAAACTATTGCGCTTTTTTCCACAACAATTTTTCAAATAAAAAGGGCTCAAGTTCAATAAAAATTGTCTAATATTATTTAATTATAGAAATATATCATATTAAAATTTGATCTATACTAAAATAACTGATAATTTTTTGTTATATTACTATTTAGGTTGCAAAACTACCTGGCAATTAGAAATTCGTGTTGCAAAATTACAACAAAAATTACACTGTGTACCGAATTTTATAAATATGGAGGTGATGGGACCAACAGAATTTGAATAAGCTGGTCAAGTTATGAAAAAGTTTCAAAGAATTTGAAAAATTTGGGTACCATTTATTTTTGTATCTCAATTTTAAGTTGACGAAATAAGCTACTAAATAATGAGAACGTATAATTAAAAACACATTTTCCAAAGTTAACGGAGCGGGAAGGGAATGGGGTTTAAGGAGTTTTCGACACAGCTCAATGTTCAACTGAAAGACTTTTATTGTATATGTAGGTATACGTGCATATGTGTATGTAGGTATGAAATTTGTGAGCGAAACCAAAAAAAATCATTGTCCTTGTTTATTTTTGAACCTTAAATTCACAACTTCAGACAGATATAAAATGGAAACGGGAACCAACTTTAACAAATGCTTTGGTATTTATTCATATTTTGACCTCTTTTAATGAATGCAATTGGTCTCATTCTCATCACTTTTTGAGTGTTGCACTGTGTTATTTATCTTACAATGATTTTTAAACGCGTAATTTGCACCTGTAGAGAAGGGTCACTACAGTTATACGCACCCGTTCCCAGGTGCCAGAGCTACTTCCCTAATTCCTATAAGGGGAGAAATATAAAAAAAAGATCAGCTGACCTAAAACAGTGCTGTGCGAGGGCAAAAATCAAATATTTGCTTATCCTAAGTATAAACGTAGAGGGTATTCTTGGAAAGGTAATTTATCCATTATTAAGGCTCCGGTCCCAATTTTTGTACAATAATAAATAATTTGTAAAAAATCTAATTCTTAATTTTAAATCTATTTTGTTGAACATAAAAATATTAGATACTAAACATTAATGGAGTAAACCTAAAAATCATTTTTTTTCATTCCATAAATCAATGTATGACCTTTTATCTGTTGAACCAAAAAAATGCTACGTTTTTGCACTTTGCAAAATAATCTGCTTTTAGTAAGGGTTTAAAAGACCTTATTCCCATAAAAAAAAATAAAAAATAACATTAAAGGGAAACTACCATACCCATAATATGAAAATCGCTGCATTAGCTCATAAATACGTAACGGAACTTTCTCTCCCTTTTACGATCGTGTCCCCCTCACACGCCTCAGCAGCTTGATATTTGCGTTTGAAGCCTGTATAATTAAAACCTAAAATGTAGAGGTCCAGAATCTTATTCCTCGTACGATAAAGAAAAAACGGAAAACATGTTTTTATAAAAAAGTTTAAGCACTTCTTTGCGACACTACAGCAAAATGCTAAGTAAAAAATACCTATTTTTGCACTTTGGCACATTTTAGATCCATGATTCCTTCAGAAAATTTTCTTAGATTTACACGTAAAATGCTGGCATGCTTTCCTCGCATAGTCAAAAATCTCCCATACTAATTGATCCGCCCTAACGTACATGTGTAATCCAAGTATAAAACTACCTGTATTTTGGGCCAATCAGAAAGGTATGCAAAAATTATGGCAAATAAATCGTAGTATATCTTTGATCACAAAAATATTTCACAAAAAAATAAATAAATGCAAAATAAAATCTGTTCTATGTGCTGGAAAATGCAAATTAATTAAAATAATTTAAAAACTGCAAACAAAAATTCAAACCGGGTGTTTATCCTAAAAACTACCTTGAAATAAAAAAATACAAATCGTTTCGGCATACCAAAGAACGTCATCTATAAGAAGAGACAACACGTTATAATTGTAGCGAGTGTGAACATCAGGAGCGTGCCTTCTTATGTTGGTATCACATATTGGACGGTGCAAGAAACGTGATTTTCTATACCTTTCCAATGTATTACTGCCAGAGTAATAAGTTTTATACAGTATCCACGCAAAAAATATTGATGTAATTATGACACCCTTATATAAAATAATAACCCTATATAACTACCACGATTTTTTTGATAAACAATTTTGGTATTTCTTTTTTACTTTTATGTCTGTACCTGTAATATTCTCATGTTCAAAAAATACGAATAACCAAAAGTTGCCCCAACACATGTCTCCATCTCGGGGCCAACTGAGGCACGTGTCGGCGACGTGGTACCCTTAACGTGTTCTACTGCTCCATCTAATCCTCCAGCGGAAATTAAATGGATGGTTGGTGGCCGTCAAATCCGGAATGCGACATCAAAGACAAACGTCAGTCCAGAAGGTAAGATTACCACAGTTCTTTCGACTGTTTGGAGATTAATTCGAAACTTTGTAATATACTTTCAGGTGGATGGATTACTGTATCTAACTTAACCACCACGGTTGAGCCCAATAAAAAATCGTTGGTTGTAATTTGTCACGGTCTGAATATGCAGCTAACAGAGAATGTAGTCTCAACACATACAGTAAATATTTTATGTAAGTAAACATTACTCGACGTTTTTGTTTGTTTGTTTGTTTGTTTGTCGTAACCAGGCATAAAACAACGCGGGCAGGAAATAGCACTCAGACTAAATGACGTGCATTGTTTTCATGCCCCTTTTAATCGAATAAACCTAAGCAGATTGTTGGACGTCAAAGAGCTCAGGTGTTCGTCTCTCAACACAGCGCGGCATATAAAAAGATCCCTCGAAAATTTTATTTCAAAATTTTAATGTGGTTATTTAATCCTTATTAATACTTGCATATGTATTAGTGTTTCCATCGGAAGGTCTACCGAAAAAAATATTTTGAAAAACCGTATTTATGGTCCGGTTTGGTTCGAATTTGACGTATGTAGCTGAAATTATAAAATACATATATTCGACATAAAATGTGTGTCTCGTTTGAGTTGAAAATTCATTTAAAAAGAATATTAACAAAAATATAACGATTGAAATTTATGTCACTTCACGTAACATTTCTACGTTGGGGTTGTGAAAAAAACTGAAACAATTTTAATTGATTAAAAAACAACTCTAAAAACAACTAGAATTACTCCAAATCATGTTAAAACAAGCTTCATGAAAAGAGCCATCCACAATTCGTAGTTTTGCGATTTTTTAAGAGAAGAAAAAATCATCTTCCATTTGTGTGACACACACACAAGGATTTAAAAAATTAAAAGAAAACAAGTGAGAAAGTCTAAGTTCGGGCGGAGCCGAACATTAAATACCCGGCGCAAGTATTAAATATATGTTTTTCACCTTTCCGAAAGCTACCGCTACATGGTAAGCCGGGGTGTATCAATTTTGAGTAAATTAGCGTCCTTAAATTTCGAAATATTGAAGTTTCCAGCATTTCTAAAATTTACCGTTATATAAAAAGCCGCAATTTTAGCCCGATTTCAATAATCTTGAACGTTTTGCTTTTATGTGGCAAGCATAATAACCATACCGAGTTTGGTACAAATTGGTAGAACGGTTACCGAGATA